AAAACTTTTTTTTGTACTAAGTTAATCATCTTTGGGCCTCTAATTGAAGTTGTAGAGCTCATTGAGACAAATCTAATGGTAGTTAAATCGTCCTTTAACAATAGTATCACCAAGAGAATTTTACATAGTTGGCAAAATATTTTTCAAAGATATCTTATGATTTACCAAGCTGATTTTGACGATTCAATTACTATTAGATTCGTCTCGACAAGTTTTACAACTTCAATTAGAGGCCCAAAAGTGATTAATTTAGTACAAAAAAAGGTTTAGATAGAAGCAGCTTATATTCCAAAAACCCTAATTTCTATATATAAACCACATCACGTTATACTATAAGCTCTCTCTGGTTAAGTGGTGAATCACTAATTAAATAAAGAAGTTTTGTCAAATTTAGTTAAATAATAGTTTAAAAATTTTAAACAAAAATATCTTGATAAGTATCTAACTAAATTTGATAAAAAAATTTTTTATTTAATTTTTAGAATTCAAATAAAAAAATTTTTATTAAATTTGGTTAGGCAGTTACCAAGATATTTTTATTTAAAGTTTTGAAACAATTTAGCATAGTTTTAATTTTAATTAATATTTTAAGAGATTTATTTTATAGTGCAATAACACTATAGCGCTATAGTTTTATAGTACTATATTTTTAATTATATTTATTATTTATTATTTATATATTAAATTATATACTATGTAATATATATATTAATGAGTACATTTATTTATCGCCCTATGTGACGCATCTTATATATTGCTCTTACATGATCAACCAATTGAATCTCAAGATCAGGTGTAATGTTACACAGGTGAGAAATTCAAAACAAAATGAACATTTTGTCAAAAATCGCCTATAACTCAAAACATCGAATATGAAACCATTTTTCAGGTTCTAATGAAAAAAATTTCTTGCAAAATTTTATCATAAAGCCTGGTCTTTGCCTCGATTCTAACCTTATCTATCCCTAACCCTAACCATATTAAAAAAAATATTGTTTTAATTTTACGTTATACCTGATCATTAGGGTGACAACATTGCCCATGCGATGTATAAATTATCTCTATATTAATATAGTAATATGTGATTAATTTACCATTAATAAATTCGTGTTATATAATATATATACTACTATATAATGGGTTACAGTACGATTTCTTGAAAGCACCTAATATCACATCACAAGGGTACCAAATTGCTAAAAATATATATCTGCAACAGGACTCTGAACAATCTACAAACAGCTAACAATTTGCAAAAATTATTAAAAATAAAAGGATCTGCGGAAAAAAAGCTTGAAATAAGCAAACTAATTACTATAAATAAAAAAAATTAACAAAAAAATAGTCTGAAATAAGCAAACTAAAATCTTACCTGTCTATAAATTGTTCAGGGTCCTCCTACAGCTAATCAAACACTAACTTTAACCCTATATGATGTTGGGTAACGAGTTTGTCAGATAAGTAGCTTTTAGAAAATTGAGCAACATCCTATATAATGTATATATTATTTATAGATTTCTTTCATGTTTCTTAATTAACAAACAAAATCTCAGTAAAAATTGATACTAATGCTAACTAATGCAGGCTAAAATTGATAGAATACTATTCTTTACGAAAGATCGACTATGAATTAAGTTTAAATTATACTGATCTAACCTTAAATATCAGAAAATATATGTACTAGTACGTTAACTAAAAACAAATAACTGAAAACAAACATGTACTATAAATAAGATTTCCTAGCATCCACTTATTAAAACTAATTAGCATTAACTGATATTTCAATTGTAGCAATAGTGGTAGATATACATAGCAAAATTACTCATTACATACAACTGATACAACAAATAAACCTATTTTTGTCTTTAAAAGCAGATTACCCGATTATGCCTAGCGTCTCTACAAATCTTACAATGCAATTTGCATTTTGTCTTTTTTGATAGCTCACCTGCACATCTTATTCTATCACTTCTCTTTGGTCAATCTTTTCTTTTGTATTTATGAGAATTCATCAATTCACTTGGATCTAACCTCCAATTATCAATTTCAATTTCATTTTCACTACCCAAGTCTATATTACTATCAGATGATACCTCTTGGCAGTCATTTAAATATTTATCAAGGATAGTAATAAAATTATAATCGTGCTTCCGAACTGCTACCATTAATGCAGCTCTTGCTTTACCTCAAGCCTCTCTATATAGATTTTTTTCATCAATTACTTTGTGGTTTATATTATGCATTTCCTTAACTATAACATTAAGATAAGGGATTGGACCATTCTAATCTATTGTTATTGGTTCTTCCATTTCAAATTTTTATATAACCAAAAATAGCTCTTCTGTAGAATCACTGGTTATATTATCATTATCATTATACCATCAGGTCATATTAGCTAAATATGAAATATTGCAGTCTGTATATATAGCATTATTTGAAAAAAATGCTAGCAAATGATCTCATGATTGCAGTGGTTAAAACAAGAATATAAATAAGTCCTATTATCCAAAAGCACTACAAAATACCGTATTTCATTTGATATTATTCGTTGAATTTTCATATTTCTACAATCTTATCTTTGTCAACAAGATTGAGTATTGACTTGGCCATGATATTGGTAAAATTTGGATTTTTGCCAAATAAGTCAGGATCATCAACATCAATTTAAAAATTTATATGTAACAATAATGATACTGTTAATATTAAAATATTTTTAAAAAAAGCAACTAGATTTTTATTTACCATAAGAAACCTTTGCAGCTTATTTGTTACTATTTTTACATCACGGTAATGAGGTGCTTGTTTTATTTGATCTTTTTGAATCTTTAATATTTTAGCAGTAAGATATTTATACAGCATATTACAGATATTTGGTAGAATAGTATTAGCTATTGCAGTCAGAACAGTCTTGGGAATTGATATATGAAATAAAGCATATTTTGTCTTTTTATCCTCCTTGAGAATGCATACTGATAATTTTTCTGCTAACTCTAACAATATTGTATTGAAGTTAAATATTAATCTTTTAATTTTTGCATTATAGCTTTCAACACGAGAAGTTGAAAACATTTTAGCTATAAACAATTTAAATACAAATGCTTTTGCCCATGATTCCTTATTGATATAAAGCATTTATTGTAAGTAGCTAACTACATTTTCATTATTATACTTGTTAAGTAGACATTTTTACTGGTATTCAAAGATTGCTATAAAGCTACTCTGTTGTACTTCGAAGAAATCCTTGATGAACTCATCATAGTGGTCTCTAAGAACATTTTTTAAATTGAGAGGAAGATTTTGTACAATATAGAACATGCAATAAAGGGTATGTGTTGTTGGAAATTTATCTCTTATTGCGGCAATTAAAGTGGGGTTTGTGCCAGTAAAGATTACATGAGGAATAGCTTCAAAAGTTGCTTTTTTAATTTGTCGCAGTATCTATGTGCGTGCTTCCTTTGTCTCATTATCAGTTAAAGCCTAGACTACCAAACAGGAAGATAAATGGTTGTCAACTACCAAAAAAAGTGACAATGCTATTTTATAATAATTTGTAGCAGCAGTATTGTTATTTAAAATAATGTCTCCAAACTTCAACTATCGTTCAATTTAATCAGGAGACATATAAAACAGTTGGCAAAGATATTTACTATAAGGGTCCCACTCCACATTAATATACCATCAGGAATCAGTTTCTTTTTTTTTCAACAATTCTTCATACAAACAGCTAGCATTATTTGTTTGATCATGTGGTTTTGAGTGAAAATGTTGAATTACCTGATGCAGAACAGGCATGTAAACTTTTAAGAGATATTTTTTTTCTAGAGCTCTGCGAATTTGTTAGGGGCTATAATTTATCTTCTTCACATAAAATTCAACATCCTTAACCATATCTATAGTAAACTTCAAGTTTTTTCTGAAAGTCAAAATACTTATGGTCAAGATCATGATTTGTGTGTTTATCAACTAATTTTGTAATATATACGATTTTATGAGGATTATTTTTTTCAGGGCATAAAAGATTTATCTGCCATGTATACCCAATGTATTTAGAAGTAGTTTTCTTCTTTGGATCCTTGTTCTTTGTGGCCTTAGACTTTCCATAATATTCACAAACCAACATACATCTTCAGATACAGTCATTAGATTTCTTAACACAGTAATAGCATGTCTTGAAGCCTTGTCTCTTTCTATATTTTTCAACTTTGTTCATAGCATGGTCCCAATTAAGAAATATCATATCCATTTGCAACTTCTCATTTTGAGCACTATCCACTAGATAACACCATTTCTGATCTATCATATTCTTGTCATTTGCACCTTCAAAATTAATTGCATCATTGGTTTTATTTTCAGGATGATCGATCTCATATACAACATTATTGTGAATATCAAATTTGGTTTGATTATCATATAGTGCCTCGTTAATAGCAAAAGTTACTTGATTACTATCATATAATACGTTGTGATTAATAGCAAGTTTGTATAACATATTATTATTAAAACTAAATTTTTCTATTTGTTAAGCGTAAATAAAAACAACAAGACAAAACAATCAAGTATAGGTGAGTAATGAAAAAAATTATTTATTCTGGGCAAGAAATCAGAATATTTAACTATCAAAGCAATAGTTTAATTTAATGAGATCACGTAGGATAGCGCCGTAGTACTATGTATATCATTATATCTTTTATTTTAATTAATTAACAAACAATTACATAAGGGTAGTGCCATGGTATTATGCATATTCAAGATTATTTTAATTAACAACTGATTAAATAAGGGTAGTACCATGGTTCTATATATATATTATTATAGTAAAAACAGTTCCCGATCACATAAGGGTAGCATCACGATACCATAGCACTATAATAATATTTCCATATTTTAAATATCTTTTAACTTTAAGTGAAAATTTCTTAACTATCTAATCAAACTTGATAAAATTTTTTATTTGAATTTTATAAATTTATAGAATTTAAATAAAAAAATTTTACTAAATTTGATCAAGTATTTACTGAGATATCTTCACTTAAAGTTTTAAAAATAATTCAGTAGTTTTAATTTTGATAGATATTTTAAATATCTTATAACTTTAAGCAAAAATATTTTGGTATTTACTTGACCAAATTCAATGAAAATTTTTTTTATTTGAATTCTATAAATTTGTGAAATTCAAATAAAAAAATTT